AGATAAAAAAATACTATAAGATATTAGATATTAATTGGGTAGACACATATATTATAAAAACAACTATTTTTAAAATATTTTTTAATAATAAATATTATCTGTCACACAAAAAGAATAATATAAGATTGATAAGATAATACAATCCGTTAGACATAAATAATATAAAAAGAAAAAACATCATAAATTGTCCCTGTGGTTACTCAAAATCTGAAGTTTAATCCCCGTAATTTAAAAACCTTATAGATGGTCCCTGTGTTTTCAAAACTTTTGATGTTTGATCATTTTTGCTAACTCCGTTAAGTTTGTCCGTTAACTAAAGGGTATTTTCGTCATTTCACAACCACAAGAACCATTTACGATATTTTTTTTTTTTTTTTAAATTAAATTTAATATCCAAGTGCTCTCTCTCTCTCTCTCTCTCTCTCTCTCTCTCTCTCTCTCTCTCCACCTCCTAAAGCCTAAACCCAGATAAAACCCTCATTTCTTTCAGCCACACAGCCGCTCCACCCCCTTTTTTCCCATGTATCACTTCCTCATCTCCGTAATCCCTAATTTCTCCTAATTTACACTTACAATGCTTCCATTTTTGCTATCCAAAATGTCGAAGGAGATAGCGAGCACTGATCCTGAAGGAATCAACGATGTTTGTATGACCTGGAACCCCTGGCCATGCACAAAATTCGAATCCAGCAAGACCACCACCATCTTTGTTGCTAATTACGTCACCCACATGAAGCTTCCACGCCCTTACAAGACCACCAACATCAATTGACATATCTCTATCACTTGTTTCTCACTTCCTCCTTCCATTGTTTAACCGCCCCATTCCTTTAGTCGTTGTCTTTGGAGCTGTTAAATCCAGCAAATGTAGCTGATTGGGAGATGATATCATCTACCTCATCGATTCAGATTCAGATTCAGATCATAGTTCGTTAATATACATCAATGTGTATTTAGGTTTTGTAGATTCCTCTGCTTCATACTTGTGTTTCATAATCGAGTTTGATAATACTTTAAATCTATTGTATCGATTTAGTTAATATGGGAAGGGATCGATATGAAAATTAGGAAAAGGATTACAATTTGGATCAAGCACATATACCTATAAAATATTATCTGGATTTTGGGTTGGGTGTACTCATACTAAGCTTGAACATTTGGTTCTTGCAGTTTCGATTGATCTTTTGAACACATATGAGAACCTAAAAAAAAATCTGGTTTTGTGTGTGTATGTGTGTTTTTTTGAGTTTTTGTTTAGATTTATAATGATTATTGTTAAAATTGGAATCGGGTGCATACAAGGAATATATGAAAGCGAGAACAGAGCAAAGGATTGTGTCTTCGCGTTTGACTAGACTTATAGATCGTTGGAGGTGGTGATGGCAAATAAAAACCTGCGTTTGTGTAGGAAGACGGGGAATGAACAGTCGATCGAAAGGGACAAATGTTGAGGAATCGTGAATGGGAGGTGCGAATACAATGGGAGGTGGGAGTAAGTGGGAAAAACTTAAACCTAGAATTTTTATGGAGGGAAGCTAGAGTACATCTAGGACTAATTCCAGGAGGAAGAAGATATGAGAGAGAGAGAGAGAGCTTGGATATTAAATTTAATTTAAAAAAATAAAAGAAAAGAAAACATCATAAATAGTCCCTGTGGTGGTGAAATGATGAAAATACCCTTCAGTTAACCGTAAATACTTAACGGAGTTAGCAAAAAGGACCAAACATCAAAAGTTTTGAAAACACATGGACCATCTATGAGGTTTTTAAACCATGGGGACTAAACTTCAGATTTTGGGTAACCACATGGACAATTTATGATGTTTTTTCATATAAAAACATTTACTAAGATAATAAAAAAAAACTATTTTCATAATATATATTATCTATTAGAAATAAAATATCATAAAATTAATGTATGATAATACAATCTATTAGAAAAAAAAATACTAAGATAATAAATTAATATTAAAAAATATTAAAAATAAAATTTTTAAAAGTTTTTATATTTTGGATTAATTTACAATTTTTTTTTATATTATATTGATGGCAGATTACCGATAAAATAGATCAAAATGAACATAATTAATGTTTTGCCATCTGTGATTAAAAAAAATAAAAACTAAATCAATTATATGATTTAAACATAAAGTTTTTTCAGTAGGTTTCTTCAGTTACTTTATATAAAAACTTTTTGCAAATAAAAATAAATATCAACATTCCACGTTTAAAAATAACCAAACAAACTGCATACCCGTTCAAATCAAATTGGTTACAAATATGATGAAAATTGTTTTTATGTTTCATCCTTAAAAAAGGTTTCTAATCTTTGAGATCAAGGTGTTGTATGATAATATAAATATGATTTTTAAGTTCACTCAATGGAAAGAGGCTTTACTCGGGGCAAGTTTGATTGATTCTTCTCCTTTTCCTCACTGGCATTAATCACGAGAGTTTAGCCACTGGTTATATGTACTTTTTCTCTTTGCAATTGTTGTGCACACCAAGTGTTCGACATATTGCTTCATAGACTGTTTCTTCACCAAATATGAGGAGAAGTTCAATCTTACCATTGTTACGTCTACACCGACCCTTAACATCTTCCCTATATGACAAATCCTCTTTCACCGAATCAAGTTTTATGTGGATTCAAATCATGCATAAAACCAGTGGAGGAAGAAGACCCAAAAAGAAAATCTACCAGTCTTTACTTCTCAGAGACCTCGAAAAAGAAGTTGAATTTATTCAAAAATGGAATTTCATCGTTGTTATTGAAAAATACCCATCAAAAAGTAGTGTTTTTGTTAAAGAATGTTATGAAGGATCGAGATTGGTTGATAAATATCCCCTTTTGATTTTTAGGGATAAGTTTATAGTACTCAGTGGTAGGAGAGACGTCGAACATTCATCATGTGTTGTATGAACATAAATTTAGAACTTTTTATAAATGTGTTTGTTGTGTTTTTATAAACATCTTTAGAAAAAATACCATTAAAACCGAAAAAAGAAAGATGTCAAAGCAACAAAAAAAAAAAAAAAAAAACATCTTTTGTGCATGATTTTGGAAAGGAGGCATATACATGTAAATATCGTTCATTAGAATCTTAAATTCATGAGAGTATTTCCGAACACTAGAAATTTGATAATTGAAGATATCAATAATTTTAAACTAGAACTGGAACAAGAAGATTGAGATCAAATCTTCACCTATTTAGCTAATCGAAATAGAACTTGAAGTTAAAATTTCATCCTAAGTTCCAAGAATAGATGATATTAAAAACATCAGATAATATAATTGAATTACGGGAAGGAAATATTGATTTCCAGATAAAAAGAGACATCAAAGTCGCTTTGGCCGAGTGGTTAAGGCGTGTGCCTGCTAAGTACATGGGGTTTCCCCGCGAGAGTTCGAATCTCTCAGGCGACGATATTTTTTAATGTTTGTTTGTCAGATTTTAAGCCAAAGGTAGATGAATTTTACTTTTTACTTTTAGAATGGTACGTGTGGTATTCTACTGTTTATGTTCTACACTTCTACTTTATTTTCCCTTTTCTGGTATCTTCTTCGATTTATATAAACGAAAAATAAAAATAAAAATAATGTATAGTTGTTAATTTAGGATAAACTGTCCGTAAGTTATACACATTTTTTTTAGGTTAATATGTTTTTGTTACGATTTTGTTTCAAAAGAAAATTATAAATTTGTCTTAAAATTAGTTTTATCTAAGTTTAAAAAACTAATAAATTTTATTATGAATTTCGTTTTATAAAATTTACAAATTTGCACCAAAGTACATCTAACTCAACCAGATATCAGGTCTTGCTCTTCCCTTTTGAGATTTATGATTCAAATCAACTTGTGGATATAATTGAAATTAATAAGTAGTTTGACAGTATATTAGATTTGTCGTTTAAAAAAACAAATTTATCTCAAAACATGCTTAAAATCATTTATTAAAAGATTTAAAAATAAAAATATCAAAAAAAATTTGAACACAGTTCCCAACAAATTTATATAACATTTACTAATATATTAAAAATCTAAAGTCGGTGGCTTGGTTTGTCAATTTAAGTTCCTAATTTATGATATAAGAGCATCCGCATCCTTTCAAAACATTTGCAATGACACTTGTCTATTATTTGCAAGCCACGTATTTATGATATAAGAGCATCCGCATCGCATCCTTTCAAAACATTTGCAATGACACTTGTCTATTATTTGCAAGCTACAACTCCTTTTTCCTTCTTATTATAATGTTAAATACACATGTATATAATAATAATATATTGTGCATTTAACCTTAATAGGTATATTTCTATAAATAATAGTATTTTAAGAAAAACGATAATTTCAAAATTACCAGATATTTCAATATCTATAATCAAACATAGTTATTTATAACTGTTATGAATAGATTTATTTTTATATATTTTCATATTAAAAATATAAACATATACAATTTATTAAAAATATATAAAATGGTTGGTGACGTGTCAATAGGACCCATTTTAAAAGAGTATAGATATTTCATTGATGTGAATGGTTATTGCAAAGTTGATACGACAAATTTGAAAGATAAGTGACATTGCACGCGTGTGGATGGTCCAAGATTCTATTGATGTTTAGAATTCTATTTTTAAAATGTCATTTGATCTTTTTCATCAAAATTGAATAAAGGAAACAGTTACGTATCAGAAGTTTTCTTCTGATTTACAGATGAATCAGAGGTCGATGGAGATTTGTTAATGTATACAAAAAAAAAAAAAAACAATAACATCGGAAGTGAAATTGATGAAGGTTTTGGGAGAATGAAACCGACCACCCGTGTATATGCCTAATGTACCTGGAGGAGAAAAGTGGTGGAGGATTAATGGTGGGAGGAGAATGGTAGGAATGGTGTTGAAGGGGTGAAGCAAGAACGATGATGACATCTATGGCTCGAGTTTCCAGCGTTGTCGCCGACTCTACGAACTCTAGCAAACCCTAGCAAGAACAACGTCATTGATCCACATCTGTTGTTATGACGAAGACGATGGTTGCTCCGGTGAAGCTAACGTTGAAAACCCTTGGGGGTTTTGATGCATTTCTGATCTTCGTCTTCAAAGACCATTCCCGGATCCATAAAACCTTCTCGCTTCTGACACCACCTTCGCAACCCCTCCTCGCCGTTGCAAACCCTAGCAACTCGACGAAGACGATGGTTGAGCCACTGCAAATCGGATACACCTGGAACCTTCCGATCTTTATCTAGTTGCCTTCTTCTTGGTTGTTAAGTCTCAGACGAGGTTTCCATCGATCAAGAGGGTCAGCGGAGCAGTGGGTGAAGGGATGGTCGTTTGTTGGTGCTACACGACCGGAGGGAGGCGGGGAGGGGCTGCGAAGTTGGTGGTCGGCAACCACTTTTCTTCGTCAGAGGAAGAGAGGGAGAGAAATGACCATCTCGTGTTTTTAGCTGTGTGTGTGTGTGTGTGTGAGAGAGAGAGAGAGAGAGAGAGAGAGTGTGTGTGTGTGTGTGTGTGTATGGACATTTTTCCTTTTTTTTTTTTTTCTTTTTTCTGCTTTTATTTTTGTAACAAAAAGGAAAAATAAAATAAAAAAAAGGGAAAAATCGTCATTTTATAAAAAATTAAAGCATAATGGACAAAACTAGCAATAAAATGAAAACTTTTGGACCATTTATGCTAATCAAAACCTGTTTGGCCCAAAGTGATACTTTTCGATATACCACAGGGACCATTCTTGCAATTTGGTCTAAAAGAAATATAGATAAAGAAATAATGATTTTTCATATGGTGTGCATCATAGAGTTCCCTGGAGACAACTTAGAGGTCCTTGGAAGCTAAAAGGTCCAAGGCCATGTGTCATGGATATTTAACTATTTGTGATATGCATGTCAGTCTATGACTTGTGTATGTACTAAATTTCGTGACATAAAGTTGTTCCTAATGGAAAGGAGACTCTGACAGGGGTCGGTCATATGGTTGTATGTATTCACCTTCATCTTGGATGAGATTTCTCACGATAAATAGGGAAGGTGCCCCGATGTATGTTTTTGTAGATAACCCCATGTTTCATGTCCCATAAAGGCCTTTTTTTTTTTTTTTTTTTTTTATCTATTTTCTTTAAAAACCCAAATTATATATATAGTTAACATTGTATTAGTAATAAAAATGCAACTTGGTTCAACGGTAAAGACACTTATTTGTATACCTATAGTCACGTGTCAGATTCTTCATAGTTCCTTTCGTCACCACCTTTTGTTAAGGTGTTGATGTAGTAATCCTAGTCATCAAAAAATTACCATATCAGTGATCCTAATCAGTAAATCGGAGTCACGTAACATTTTCGAATGAGATTGGTTTGAATGCTACTCAATACTAGATATACGAAGTCCCCATGATAGAAGTTAGTGTTTGAAGTGCGTAACTCCTCAAATGATGTCCAATGTTCAAACCCTACCACTAATGATTATATTAAATTATAACATATACTATACATTTAATCTCCATTAAAATATTTATTCTCTTAATGATTTAGAGAGCATCAATCTGTACATCGGAGCCCCATTATCCAAAACATGTTTTTCCCAATCCGACTCAACCCCAAACGGGTTTTCTTTCAACCATTTTTCTTGATGATCAATTATAAACTTCCCATTTCCATATTTCAAAAACTCTTCTTTCACCCTCAATGCAACACCTTCTATATCAGATTGAAGAAACACCTAATTTTCCATATAATCCAAAAATCATATAATAAATTTTATTAGTCCCATATAACATTAGTCTATTAATAAAAAAAAAAAAAAAAAATCTTTACCTTTCCATTATAGGAAAGCAGATGGAGTATGGCTTCAATGAGTGATCTCTGAACCATTTTCCACCTATGTTCTGGTCTATTGAAGTCAGGGTTTGGACACTACAAGTAAATAAAATATTATTTTAGTTTTTTATTAAAAAATAAAACCCATTTAATAACCAAATCCAATTCTCTCATTTCAATCAATTACCTGTATTGATGCAAAAACGAGTTTTCCAGGATAACAAGAAACAATAGATCCAAATGTCGATGTTGCATTTGTTTCAACGAAGTATCTGCAATTTTTTTTTTTCTTCTTAAATTTAACTATCAAAAAATCATTTTTAACAATTTAAAAACAGATTAAAATCTAGAAATTGAAATCGTACCCGTTTTTTAAACCAGACACATGGCAAGTTTCCAAGCAACGCTTTACAAGCTACAAAGTTTCAAAACACAGAAAAACAAAAACCACAAAGGAAGAAAAAAATTAAAAAATAATAACAAAAAAAAAAGTAACAACTAACAAGACAACCTTCCCATTCATTTCTAATCCAAGAAAATTCATATCCTTCGTTTTTCTCGCCATTCCAAAGAGAAACATTCCATTACCTGTAATTACTAATTTTGAATTAAAATTTTTAATATATTAAAAAACTTGTAGAAAGTCAACAAAAAAGTCAATACCACTTCCAATATCAACAAACAAAGGTCGATCCGGATCAGCATAAACTGTGTGCCAATCAATTGTATAAGGGTATCCCTGTACTCAATAAATTTATAAAAAAAAAAATGGAATTTAAAAAAAAAGAAAAAGAAACAAATAATCAGAAAAAAAGAAGTAAAAGCGTACTCTATCTAACGCCATAAGTCCAGGAAGCTTTCTTCCTTTAAGAAACTCCCATACAACCGAAGCATTTTCAATAATATTGAAATTTGAAGAAACAATTGATTCCTCCATTAAAGCTTTACATGCAATATTTCCAATAACTGTAACATCGCAATTTTCTTGACTTAATTTTCCTATTACTTTTGCCAATATTGAGGTTCCATAATTATCTTGATTTGATAATCCAAACTTAACTGGACCAATCCACACAATTTTCTGCAATATATTACAATAGATTTAGAAAAAAAGTAACAAATCACATGAGTTGAAATTAGTCAAAATTACAGTATTCATTCATAATTTCATATCACCTTTGACTTTGAAAGCAATGTTGTTATTTCTTCCAATGAAGTTGGGCCAAGACCAAAAGGTGTCCAACCTAAGAGAATATTGAAATAGTCAACATTGACTTTTCTTGACCATGAATGAAGTTACACACAAAAAAAAAAGTCAAAATGTTACCTTCAGGAATGCAATGAGTGGAAACAAGCTTTGGGTTTTTAAAATGATCGTTCATACACCAAAGATCTTTAGGAAAGAAAATGGGAATGTTTCTAGAGTTTGCAGATTTTATTATTTTAATAGCTTCTTTAAATGCTCCAAACTCTATATATTTATTAGGTACTGAAAATCCAAGAGCATGCATTATTTGAAATGCGATATTTCCAACAAATATTAATCCATCAGATGAAGAAACTAAATAGTTTATGGCAGCTGCTTTTTCTATAAGGTTGCCTCCTCCAACCTGTATTGAAAAGAATCGTGAAATTTAAATCTTTAAAATCTAATGTTTTGATTGTTATAAAATAAGAATACCATGGCTATATATGGATTCTCTTTTGAATCAAATGCTTTTTTGAGTTGTGATAAACCTTCTTCAAATTGGAAACCAGCGATAGAGGCATAGCAGAAAGAAGTGACACCAACAGTTGATGAAAGAGTTTTATGCGACTGAAAAAATGCATCGTTTATGAAGATATCAACCCCTGATGATAACTCTTGAGAAAATCTTGAATTGTTTGCTATATCTTCTTTGAATTGAGAAAGATTTTCAAGAAGATAAATACTTGGTTTATGAGTTTGTTGATTTTCTTCCAATATAGTTGATTCATACTCATGATGTAACTTCATTGGTAGAACTTTGAGTTTGAGAAGGGAAGAAATGTATGCTGAAACTGAATCTAATGAATCGAGATTTGAATTGGTCTTTGTAGACCAGCTGCTGATTAGAATCACTTTCGCACCAGCTTCATGCAAGTGTTTGATGGTTGAAAGAGCCGATATGAATGTTTTGGAATTCTGGTTCTGATTTTCTTCGAGTAAGATGTTGGAATCAAACCTAACCATGGCAATTTTCCCCAAAAGATCGTCTTTTTGAAGTTCGCTAAGACGTTTCACGTGTGGAAGTGCATTGAGTGCGTTTCCATCATCTTCTTCGACCTGAAATTAACAGCTTTAAGTAGTGATTGTTATTAAGTATAAACTTTTGTTGTTGGGATACAGAAGGAGCAACAAAATCCATATCAATTTTGCAATTGAAAACCCTACATTTGACATCAATAGTCAAAATGTAGTTTATTTTAACAGAGGAGCAGTAATAACATTTTAAGGAGCATGAAATGGAATTTACCTTGTGTGCACATCTATCAATTATATGATTCAATCGCACCTCTGAAATATTTGCTGAAAAGTTGATTTTACCAATATAATGAGAATTAATGCAAAATTTGAACTGAAAAAGAAACAATAAATAATCAAGAAATTGAAATATTGGGGTGGAGGAATCTGGAAGTGTAAGTGTTTAACCTCGTAACGAAGATTTAGCCGCGCCTTTCTTGTTGAATGTAAGGTAATTTCCATTGGAACCCTGTGATTTACATGTGAAGAAAATCAACGAATAAGTCGGCCGACAGTGATGTATATCAAGAATTCGGCTCATGTTCGACTAGATTATACGGAGTGAAGTTTTAGACGGATTTCCTTCCTAATTTTCTGCGTATTAAGCCGTGTGTCTGACTGTCTGTTCGTCAGTGATGAAAGAAAATACGAAGTCGGGGAAGGAGAACTGGAGAAGATAACAAAGAGCGAAGAAGAGAAAAAGAGAAATTGATAGATGAATTTATTTATTTTGAAATTGACTTTTTTTTATATGTAATTATCTTTATTTATTTTTTTTAATTATTATTATTATTATTATCATTTTAATGTTCATGTCCTTATTAAGATTGGATCCTAGATAAGATTGTTTTTGAGTTTACAATATCGGAAAAGATTGGATCCTAGATAAGATTGTTTTTGAGTTTACAATATCGGAATCGGGATCTTAAGATCCTACAAAATAAAATATAATTTTAATTTATTATTTTAAAACATAAAAAATATTTCAAATATTCAAATTTTCATTTAAAAGTTATAAAACTTCAAAATATTAATCATAAGTTACAACAAAAAATGATAAACGGTAAAATTGGTAAAGGGTAAAAAAATTCATTTGAATACAAAAAAGTCAACGTAAGACAAGGTAGGATCAAATCGGATCCCGATCCTACGATCTTACCCTAAATACGATCTATTTACAACCCGATTCGTTTTTTATACCTAGGATCGCAGGATTGTATTATTCATTTTTAATTAATTTTTATTTTTTTTAAATATCTAGTTAACGAATTTATTGTAAAATTTTAACTATAACCATTATAAGTAGTTGTAATTAGGTACAACCAGTTATAATGGTCATAACAATTACAACAAGTTTGTTACTTAGATATATAAAAAAAATTATCCAAATATAAACGAAACAAAAATATAATTACTTTGATAATTCAACTTCGATTTTTTTTTTTTGGACTTTAATACTTAATTTTATTGATTTTCAGTAAAATATCCGGGTTTTTTTTTGTCCTTTTAAGTAGATTAATCGGTAATTGACAAATCTTTTTTACCCAAAAAATCTAATTTCTTTCTTCAAAAATACCCTTATAGCTGAAAAAATTGGAGGTGTTGTTTGATCAAGAAAGATAGAGGTCCCATTGTATATGTGTTTCATAATTTGGCGACTAAAAGTTATGTATTTGTTAACTTGTATGCAATTGTATGATCACAAATGATATCACGTTTACTAATTTGGAGATTAAGGGTTCTACATTTGCTAATTTGAAGACGAAAGATTTTATAGTTGGTAAACTGAAAGTTATGCACTTGTTAATTTTAAAATAACAAATGCAACGATGAAGGAATTTGTTGACTCTTTTGTTGTTGATATAGCTAATAATGAGAAAAACTAAATCTCAAAATAATTATTTGAGCAAGTGATTTCCTAATACAAACCATCATTTTTCACACATGACAATCTCTGATCATTCTACAAATTAATTTGATATATATTAAGCTCAAAAGATATAGACACACAATAACATTGCTCCTTGTTGCAAGGACCATCTAATTTGTCTGTCAAATTTAATTTGAATAGGAACAAGAAATAAGATTTTTGAGTTAAAATAATAGTTAAATATTAGAGTTTATTTTAAGAAAGAAAAGCTAGATTTTTTCGAAATTTTATTTTATCCGTTTGTGGAAAAATAAAATAGGACCATAGCAAAAAAATTTGGAAAATACGAAAGTTTTAAATAAAAAACAGATATAAACTAAAAAAGTTCCGAAATGTAAATGTAACGTATTTTACAATAATTAATCAAAAAATGTAAAGTATTTTATAATGTGTGATTTCGAGGTTTAAACCAAAATCTTTTAATATAAAAAAGGAGTAAATTACGTAAATCTTCCTTGTTGTTTGGGTAATTTGCAACTTTCATCTTATTTTCACTAGAACGATGTTTTTGTTTCGATATTGGATATTGGTTTTGGAGGTGGGGTAGGGTGCGGGATGGTTTAAGGGCACCATTTAATATCTTTAATTCTTAATAATAATCAAAGATAAAAAATGATTGAAAAAAAATGAAAAAATAACATTAAGGTTAAAAAGGACATTTTAATTCAATACGGATTCCAAATGGAAACAAAATGAAACCATACTAATCGTAAGGGTCCTCCTATACACACAAATTATTCATGTATTGGCATTGAATTGCATGTCTAGGTAAAAAAAAAAAAATTGAACCAACATATATTATTAAAATCACGGTCTAAAGGAAAAAAAAAAACGGATATAAAAGAAAAACAAAACAAAACTTACAAAATATCAAAAAGGGAACAAACCCAACATTCACATCTATAATTTTCAAAATTACCCTTATATTTCAACCAACTAAAAACCATAGAAATCACATTATCCGCCAACTTTGAAGAGTTCAATTGGGTTTTATTAAACAACATCCTTCCTTGCTTTCCACATACACTATAGAAACCTATAGCAGATAGCAATAAATAATTTTCTCTTTTTTGGACAGTTCCCCATGAGGCAGCAAAATTAACAAAATCTAAAATCGAAAGGAACCTTTGAATAGAAATATCACACCAATTGAAAATCCAGCATAAGGAATCAAAAGCAATTAGACAATCCAAAAGAATATGATCCGTAGTGTCCACACCACTAAAGCACATTTGACAGGAAGTAGAAGACATATTAATACCTCTCCTGGAGAGAGCCACTGCAGTAGAAATACGCCTCATACAAGCCCTTCAAACAAAACTAATGCACTTGATAGGAAGTAAGTGAAACCAAACCGTGGGGTTATTTATCGGGATATTCAATTTACTGTCAATGAGAGCCCTAAGATCGCATACACGGAAAGAGCCATTGACAGTTAACCTTGATCTCCAAGTGTCAGGCCCATTGGATCTCACAACCATCGTTGTAACATCCAAAATAGATTTCAATTCCAGCAGCTCTTGAGAATTGTTGGGTTTCCGCTTCCAAGCCCACGAGAAAACGTCATTCACCCATCAATCACCTAAAAAACAAGTTTTCCTCTTGTCTAACGCATATAAAGAAGGGAATTTTACTGCCAAAGTCCCGTTCTTTAGCCAATCATCTAGCCAAAACAAAATTTTCTTTTCGTCCCCCACCTGAAACTCAAAAATATTTGAAACAATAATATCAATATGGTCGAGAAGACATTGACAATACTACTTCAAGTGCCCGGGAGAGATTTTTTAGCCCAATAGTGAATATGCTTTCCTTTCACATCTTTGAATACTACCAATCATTTGCCTCCGAAGATAATCATTTTCTGTTTTAAACCTCCATGTCCATTTTGTCAGGAGAGCCCAGTTAAGCGAGGCCAAGGATTTGACCCCGAGCCCACTGGATGATTTTGACCTAAGAACCACCTTCCAAACGACTTAATTGATTTTTTGTTTTTCTTCACTTCCTCCCCATAAAAACCGTCTTCTCAGTTTCTCGAGGTTGTCAATAATGGAAATCGGGACTTTAAAAATGGAAAAATAAAAAAGAGGAAGACTACCCAACACAGCTTTAACCAAAGTTAGACGACCGCCAAATGATAAAGTTTTAGCTTTCCATTAAAAAGTGTATTTTGAACACCATCAATGCGGGTTGCCAGCTCCTTATTTGTCAAACTTTCATTTAGAGTCCTCTAAAATATACGAAATTTATAATTTAACCCTTCTGCTTTGTAAAGTTTTATATATTATGCTTCTACTTTTATTATTATTATTATTATTATTATTATTATTATGTTAAGGTTTGGTATTTTATCATTATGAATTTAAATCCATTTTCAATAGAGTTGATTTTTTTACTATGATATATTTTATCATTTTAAATTTATAATTTTAGGCACGGATTTATTAAAAAAATTTAACTTGTTTCTAGCAACATCTATTTAACCAGCCTTACGTCAATTGTCAACTGCCAAGCCTTTTTTTATATATATATATATATATATATATATATATATATATATATATATATATATATATAAAATTGGATGATAGCAAAAACCATTTATATTTATAGATAAAATTATAAGTTATATAGAAAAAATTAATGTCTTATGTGACGTCTTAAAATATGTCATAACTCGCTACCATGTATCCTAATTATTGAATTTTGACATTGTCGTATTGTCTCACCCCATGTTATTTAGAATATTTTCTAAAATACATTAATCTTTAAATATTTTTGTTTCACATTTATTTTCGGTACATTTAATTATAGAAATAAATATTTGAAAAATCAAATCTAGGTAAAACAATTATTAAAATGTCTCATCTTCGTGACATATACCTCAAGTTTACGAATGACAACTGACATATATCATTTCAACTATGATGTTAATATGTGTGTAATCATTCTATTGATAAAATGTAATATTACAACTTTATATCCCCAGTTTACGTTGTAACTTTAGAAAAGATCATAGATTTCATCCATCTAAATCTTAAATCTTTAAAACTTTATTAATTTTAAAAACTAACAAATAGAAACATATTATTTAATCATAAAAGTTGTATAATTAAAATGATCTTATTAATACATTTACAAGAAGAGTAATAATGAATATTTTTAAATATTAATAGAAAAAATTTAATTTGTTAAATAAGAAATATAAACTATGAAACATTAACAAAAATAGAATGGATAAAATGAAAATTCAATTTCAATTTCTTTGTATATATAGACGATTGATATGTCTTATATGTTAAACTAAAAGCGACTTGCAATATCATTTTGAAAGTAGTTTTCGTTAAAAACAAACATACGATATTTGTTATAAATATATATTTTATTAAATGGCAAGTTGGGAAGAATGGACGGATGACACATATTATGAGGTATTTATACTTAACCTTTATTTTTATTATTATTATTATTATTATTATTATTATTATTGTTAAATGTATGTTTTCTCTTTGTTATGTTTAGAGAGATAACAACTTATATAAATTTCTCTAAAAAAACTTGTAGCTTTTATAATTTTTTCTCTTGTTCTTGCTTATACATTTTTAAGATGGAGGGAGTGGTGTCGCACTCTCTCATTAAATCGTAGTGACACATAGGCATCACCTCACACATTATCATAAAAGTATGGTTTCATACCACATTCAATGAGTGGTGCTACACTTGGGTTTTTTTTTAATTAAATAAAAACTATAATTTTAGTAAAAACCATTCATTTCATTACTTC